TTGTGAACATCTGTTATAAAGGCCATGTAAATCGTTAAATGAAAATGTTGATGTATGTATGAAAAACCCTAGAAAATCCCTTATTTCCTATCAGTTTGAGATGTAGTCTTCTACCAAGACCCGAATGTTTTGTAAGTAAAATGATAGTTTTGCTTTAATTGTTTAGTACTAAAGTACTTGATCTAACTCATCGTTTATGTGAAAGAATCACAAGATAAAGTAAACAGGAAAATGTACTACTGTAAGTGTTGTCACTAGGTACTAGGACCAACACATCATATGTAACTGTTATCCCCAGGTACTAGGGTTAACATGACCTATATAACCTAATGAACATCCGAAGATTTGTCCACTCACCCTCTGTAGCGGCAGCAGGGTGGAAGGGGGTTAATCCCATAACAGCGTTAACCTAATGATCATCCGAAGAGTTTCATCTCATCCTCTGTTGCAACAGGAGATGGAGGAATGGTTAGTTCCGTAGCTGACGCCTAATATCAGAAACAACCTTAGACATCTGTAGATGTTCATCACCCAGTGTTCTTAACAGCTGGGTTCCGGAATGGTTAGTCCCATATAGACATCCCAGTGAACTGGGATAGGCAGGAAAATTTACACAGAAGGTACGAATAAATCTTCCTAATAACTCTAGGTACAAACATCCACGTAAGTGAGTACAGGATAATGTATCTAAGTAACAGTATTCATGTATCATGTAAGTATTGTAAACGTACGCATGTATCATGTAATCAAATGTAAAGGTACTCATGTATCAGGTAATGTACTGGTATAGACTCATGAATGAACTGACTCTTGTGTGATTCCTTGTAATAGGAATTATGTTTGATATCTCCACATTATCCCTATGATAATTTACTGGAAGGTAATTAGTTGTTCAAGTAGGTTTATACACTCTTACTACTCAAGGGTGTGAGAAACTAAATGAAAACTGTAAACTATAACATCAATACCTATATAAGAATATAAGTGTACATGCATAGTTTAGTTCAATACTGTAAAAATGGTTTTTATAAGACATCTTATGGGTTTTGAACAATAATTAACAATGACTTGATGTCATTTTAATATACATTTCAAAGATAAAACAATAGATAACAATGCGTTTTTAAGATTTAAAACCATTTCATGCATCACATTTTGTAGTATGCGAAATCTGTTTAAATGACAAACAAAGTTATAAAATACATAACAATGATTTAATAACATGTTTGTTTCTACTTGTATCCCCCCCCCCCCTTTAAAGCATTTAAAATCATTTAAAACATTGATTAGGGGTATGAACTCACCTGTAGTTGGTGATTGGAATGAACTGAACGGTATAGGATGGCTAGGTGTCAAGCGAGGACTTGTGCACACACTACGATCCTAATGAACATATAATCACACATATATGCACTCAATTAGACTCAAATCACTAATTGATAAAGTTAAGACATCCTAGGCATAATAAACACTTTATGTAAGTGTTATAGGCCCTAAGGATTGCATCTAAGCTAATGTGGGACATGGTATTTGTGTTTAAGGTTTCCAAAGGACCCTATATGAGAGTTTACTCTCCATAAACCATCACACATGGAGTTTACGGTTGTAAACTCTTGAGTTTACGTCCGTAAACTCCCAAACATGTGTGTTTGGTGTGTTTTGAAGTCCCAAATGCTTTCTAGAATTATTCTAACTTAGTGGCTAAGTCCTTGGAAGGGTTTAAGGTCTAGAAGTACTCCAATTAAGATTTTACAGCCTCAAGGCCATTCCCCTTAGAGTTTACGGCTGTAAACTCTAAGTATGGTGGGTTTTTGTTGTTTTCAAGCCTCTTGCATTTAAAGGATATGTTATAGGCAATTGTTTAAAGCAAATGGGGACCTTAGGCACACTTTGGTGCCATTCTTTTGAGTTTACGGCCCAAGAGCATTCCCTTGGCCGTAAACTCACTTTGATGAGTGATTTTATGTACTTTGGTTCTTCATTTTTGTGGGAAACAATTCCATGAACGGGTCTAGGGCTTTAGGTGTCTTGAAAACACCCTTTTGTCCATTTCTATGGAGTTTACGGCCTAAGATACACTTGGGCCGTAAACTCACATTTGTTTGTGTCTTTTGATGTGTTTAAGGCCTTACACTTCATGGGAAAATAGCCTAGATAAAAGCCTTTAAGTCTTATAGTCCTTAAATCACCATTTTGAGCTTGAAAAAGGAGTTTACGGCCTAAGCAACTCTTGGGCCGTGAACTCCCCAAACTTGGGTGATTTGTGGTTGTTTTCTTGTCCCTAACATGTATACATAAGCATCTAAGGCCTTATCATAACACAAGTGTCGGTTTTGGCTTCGTTTCGGGAGTTTACCGCCCAAGAACACCTTGGGGTGTAAACTCTTAGATTTCATGTTTTAGCCTTCTAAATCATGTTATAGACACATATAAAGCTTTCTAACATTACTATAAAGAGTTACTCACGTTTTTGTATAAAAACCCAAAGATCTGTCAGAGAGAAAATGGCTTTTCTCTAGTCGGAAATGTGAATAATGAATGATTTTGGTTTAGAAATCTATTTATAGTCCTGAGATATTTTGGCAGAAAATACTTTTATTCCTGAAATGATCCCTAATAAAATAGAGTGTTGGAATAACAGTGTTGCACAAAACCCTAGTGCACCCACTCTCCTGATATTTCCTGAAGTATAAACCCTGAATTACTCAAACTTATGCAAAAGTCTGAAAATTAACTGTGACTGCTATAACTTCTATTGAAGTGATATAGTTTGTACAGAATGGAAATTTCGGGTTGTCACAGTTTTGGTCCCCAGCCTGGCAAGGAAAGACCATGATACGACTTATGGCATAATGACAAGACTATGGTTGGCACATAACAATTTCTATTGTATTTATGGTATGCGTTATGTTGGGGCACTTACTAAGTTTTGTTCTTACGGTTGTATATTTATGGTTTCAGGTACTTCCAGTAACGAATGGCCCGACATGATTGTACCGCATCCACCAGAATTTTCCACATTAGCAATTTACGATATTTACTCTGATGTTCAAATAATAAATTCACTTTAATCGGTTTTGGAACAACTCGTTTGTATGGTTTATTGTTTTATAAATAAAAATTTTACTATGAATTTTGGGACATTACTATATATATATATATATATATATATATATATATATATATATATATATATATATATATACACACACACACACATAATTTTGTATGAAAATTTTAATTTATTTATTTTGCAAATTGTTTTTCTTAAAATTTTAGATATTTCAAATTTTAAGTTTTTTTTTTTTTTTTTTTTTTTTGTTAAATTGTACAGAGCCTCCAAAATCACAAAAACGGTTGTGTTAGGAACTCTTAAGGCTAGTATCAATTGGATTAGGTAGTTGCACAATCCATTGTCGGCCTTAATTTTGCATTTTTTGCTAGGTCTTAGATAGACTTATAAATATTTTGCTGGTGTTTGAAAAAAAAATGGATTCATTGGGTTTGTTGTGCTTTTTAACATTTGTAAGTTTTTGTGTTATTCCCTTCTTCCCATGTCTTCATTCTCTTACACCCCGCTTCCGAGTTCATTTTAAGGAGAGAAAAGAAAGGAAATAGGTGGAAGTGAACGGAATGTAGAAGAAATTAGTATTCCTGAATTTCATTAAAGGAATGAAGTAAAAGGAAACGGAATCATCACTTTCCCTCCTAACTTTTTTCTATTTGGAAGGATTTTGAGAGAAAAAACAAAATGTTTAATTTTCCTTACATTTTTCTCCAACTCAGGAATATAAAAGACGAATTTTGTTTCCTTACATTTTTCTTCTTTTCTCTCCTTCCTTTCTTTTCTCTTGTCTTCTTTTCTTTGCTACAACTCACGAACGGGATGTTAAGCAGGATCTTTGTCTTTTTATAAAATTAGAAGTTGAAATAAAAAGATATCTGCTTAATTTTTTAAGAAATTAAATATTTTCTTATTTTTTGTTCATTTGAGACCATTCTAATTTTATGAGACCGTGAGACCAAATCTAAAAATAATTTTAAAATTCAAAATAAATGGAAAAATCCAAAAATTCTTTTTATAAATATTATTTTCGGAATTTGAATTAACTAAAAAAATATAAAAATATATAAAAAAAATAAAAATAAATAAAAAAATTCCGTTTTTTTAAAAAAATACGTGAAGTATTCTAAATAGAATATTACACTGACATATTCTAAAAAATAATTTTAAAATACAAAATAAATGGAAAAATCTATGAATTCTTTTTTTAAATATTATTTTCGGAACTTGAATTAACTAAAAAAAATAAAAAAAAATTCTATTTTTTTGGAAAATACGTGAAATATTCTAAATAGAATATTACACTGTACATATTCTAAAAATAATTTTAAAATGCAAAATAAATGGAAAAATCAAAAAATTCTTTTTTTTAAATATTATTTTCGGAACATCAATTAACTAAAAGAAAAAAATGCATCTCACGGTCTGACAAAATATAGGTGGTCTCAAATGAACGTAACCCTATATATATATATATATATATATATATATATATATATATATATATATATATATATATATATATATATATATATTACAATTGCAAACGAATTGTTAGGCTAAAGTAGAAATATCATTATTTGAATCTTTGACCATACATGGTTAGTCATATGTACGCGTGGCGTTTTTGTTGGAGCTTTTAATATATATAAATCTTTTATAAATTAAACAATGGATATTTATATGCCACCTTACAGTAACACGTCTTATATAGTGTAAAATACATGCGTGGAGATGAATCAATAAAGTTTGTCCGTTAAAAATAATATTATTAAGGGCACACTATCATCTTAGTTAATTGATACGCAATATCTAATTTTTTATATTGATGATTACTTTATTTATTTTATTTTTTGGAACGGCATTAGTGATAACTCCTGAAATTTATGGTTATGATTACAGTACATAATATGTGGCTACTTGGCCACAACATATACATATGAATATTATTAATTAATTGCTAGCTAGCTTTTGCAGCATGAAAGTTAGGACCATGCACATCATCCAAGTCCCACAATCCTTCCCACATACCGAAATCTTCACTCATGGATGAGGTCTCCGGTGCATAAGATGAACCATAACAACAACCACTGGATGCTTTGTCTTTTTGTTTCCCAACCACGGTTGGAGGCATATATTCTACTTGGTTCTCACTTTCTTCAAGAAAGGACATTATCCTTTTCATATCAGCAATATCTTGTTGTTGCATCTGAAGTTGTTGCAATTGTTGTTGTCGTTGTTCTTGTTGAAACTTTTGTCTTTTTAGCTGTCGCATTTTCAGCTTTGCTGGTTCGTCTAATACCACTTTAACTTTTTTCTTAAAATGGGTTCGCCAGTAATTTTTTATCTCATTATCCGTTCTTCCTGGCAAGCTTTTTGCAATTGTCGACCATCTAAATCATATCGTAGGAAATAAGCTCATAATATGAGCTTCCAGAAAACAAAAATAGAATGGTTTTAATTTGTATATAAAGAGTACAAATACGAACCTATTTCCCCAGCGAGCGTGTAAATCAAGAATGATGGTTTCTTCATGAGGAGTAATCCTTCCTCTTTTTAGGTCTGGTCTTAAGTAGTTCACCCATCTTAGTCTGCAACTTTTTCCATTTCTTCTGAGCCCTATAATGAGTAAACACCAAACAAAATAAATATAAAAAATTGTTGCTCTTAAAATAGTTTTGTAGAATGCAAATGTTACCAGCAAGATTAGCCACCGAATTCCAACGGCCTTCGCCATGCAAGCTGACATGATGCATGAGCAAACGATCTTCTTCAGCAGTCCATGGCCCTTTCCTCCACCTTTCTTCAATTCCTCCCATGATTTCCCAATACATCAATCAACTAAATTATAAATGCAATGTTTGAAGCGTTTCTGACTTTGTGTCTCTAAACTTCTTGATTTGGCACCTATTTATACCACCACACAGCCATCTATCATAAACTCACAAGAGTCCTTATCAAAACCATTTATCTTTCTATGTAAAGCATGATCGCCTCATTAACACCATCCTACTAATTGACCAAATTGCCCATCATTATGATAGTGTTAACGATAGTTGAAAAAATTATTGAAGGGTATCATAGGAATTGGGAAATGACAACTAGTTATGCAATCAGGTGACACATTCAATGTTGAACATATCCAATGAGTATAATTGTTGATTGTGACGTTTGGGACACGTATAAGATGGAACCAATACGTCACTAAAAGGGAATAAAAGATATTTTGTTGATTAGGTTAATTAAAAAATTAGTATTGGCTAATGAGATTAGTGCAGGTGTTCATAAACTTAGTTATCAAGGGCGTATGTCATAAAATCGTAATCGTATCTAATTAAACTACAATTTTTTAATACTAAAAGGAATGAGAGGGATCTAGTAGTTCAATTTATGCGCCACTACCTCAACTGATCAACAGATGGTCTTCTACATGAACACCATTTGCTCAAGTAGCAACCTTTTTAATTAATTTCCGAGTTTTGTCTTTACGTACGGCCGTTTATAAGTCCAACATTTAAAGGAGTATGAGAAATATTACCTATCTTCCAACTCATGTATCAAGGCAAATGTTAAAATCAAAAGAAAAGATTAAAAAAAATAATAAACTCCATGTTATTATTTTTTATGAGTAAAAAGAATATATGGAAAAAAATGTAAAAAGGATATTTAATCATTACTACAACATAAAACCCGCTATATAGGACACGTAGGACCGGTCCTCACGATTAAAATACCCGGGACGAGGTGGGAAAAAAAAGCCCTTAGATATTAACGTGTAACGAATTAAATTACATAAACTAATTTTTTTTATGATGTCTGATTTCATCATTCACTAACTATAATATGATGACATTCACATTCTGATTCAATTTTAATAGAACAATTTACAATCTAATTGTAATTCAATTTCTGATGAGTAATTCTGCTAAGTAAACTAATTATCCAATATGATCATGTGATATTGTGGTTTAACATTCGATATCTCAAAAATAAAACAAAGAATTATACATAACTGAAGTCTGAATAATTTACAATTGAATGATGAATGATTTATGATTGACTGGAAGTCTTAAATAAAATAAAACAAGAAAATTGTGGAATAATACCCCAATTGTCCTTCTCAGTTCTCACCTTCTACTGAATCTGAATGATTATGAATGTCGCTGAATAAAAATCTAAAATCTGAATGTCTTGCACGCTATGGACTAATCGGATGTACCTTAATGTTGAATGATTGACTACCCTTCTCACGTTTCACGACCACACGCTCACAGAAAGTCGGAAATCACAAAATCTCGATTTTATTGACAAGTCGGTAGAATTTTGTCTATGTTGGAGCTAAGCATTTGGGCTTGGGATTTTAATTACACATAATATAAATAAATAAATAATTGGGCCCCCGGAATATATGGGCCCTATGCAAATGTTCCTATTATCCACCTTATATCCGACACTGAAGACACGGTTTCTGAAAAAATCGAGTTATAAGAGGAAAACCATATGACCCGGCTTAACAACAAAAAACCAGGATATATAACATATTTAAATACCTCGGTTTCTCTTGCAACAACCGGGTTCTTAGAACACAACCGAGTTCTATGAGTATTATACATAAATTATGTGATAGTAATAGGACCTATTTTTCTGCAACCAGGTGTTGTTTACATACAAGTTATATATATATAACACCAGCAAAAAAACCACAAAGGTTATATAACAATAACAAGGCACAAGAAAAAAAAAACACAAACACACAAGGGTAATTCTTTAATTTGGATGCTTTAGATGCATAAAGGTAATTCTTTATTATAGCATCAAACGTTAACAAAGAATAAAATCCACAGTTGCATGAGTCGATTTTTTTTATCATTAATTCTAGTTGATTACCTAGATATATTATAATTATATAGTACAAGTTGAGGAAAGAGTAATCAAATTTACCTGGACATCAACATTTAACACGTTAATATGAGTTCAAAAATAAAAGAAAATTATGTGTGCAGACTTGTGGTGTTTCACTGTTTTGGAACAGAGTATGGAAATAGATACAAAATTAAGTTACAGCATGAATGACTAATTATAGTCGTTTATAATGCCCAAGTGCTACAAAACCAATTACAAAATATTCCCCTTATATGTGCAGAAAATAAAATTACAGAAATGGAACCTTTGTGTAAAAACTATAAAATGGTGTCCTGTAGATTTATTATTATTATTATTTTTAGAAGTAGTCATCGTAAGAAACAATTACACGGATAGTTCATATAAAAAAGAGTAAACTACAGAATGGTTCCGATGGTTTGGTCGTATTTACAGTTTTGGTTTTTAAGTATCACTGTGGTTTTTGAACATTGCACTGCACCTCTTTAGTGTATATATATATATATATATATATATATATATATATATATATATATATATATATATATATATATATATATATATATATATATATATATATATATATATATATATATATATATCTTTACTATCTTATAAAAGAAATCTTATCTTTTCTGAAAATAGGTTTGACTATAATAATAATATTGTTTTAAGATGTCCAAATATTTAAACTGAAGATACAAACTAACATCAATAAAATAATAGTATTAAATTTTAATACTTTTCCGTTAAAATCGAACCTTTGAATTTCAAATACACACCCTATATTGTGGAAGTGTCAACCTATTATGTAGTTCAAATTTGAAGTTTCAAACGTTTACGTAGTGAAATGAAAACCGATAAGATCGATCCCTCACGACTCACCTTCTCACTCTCAGTCTAACTATTCGTATGAATTTCCTTTTAATTTGCCTAACTTCAAGCTCAAATATTTTCGATTCCAACAAATCTTCCCTCATATCTCACCCATCTCTACAAATCCTCTCGAGAAACCACAAAACCACAACAACTCGAGGCTGTCACTATCCTTCTTTACAAATTCTCTTAACCCTTTCTACCTCTGTAGCCGGTGGATACAGTAACCATTCTCCATAAGTCTCGACCTCTGTAAGGTTGTAAGGTTAGATCCTCAATGAGAAGAAATCTGATATTGAAGATATGGTGAATGTCTTAGGAGTCTCTGAATCCAACTCCACACCCAACTCTGTTTAGTTAGATCGTTGAATGTCACACAAATCATTGCTTTTGTTAAGTTTTATATCAAATATGAGCATAATTGCTAACTGGTAGTTGCCACAGGTCGTTAATATAATAAGCAAAGAAACGAGAGTCTAATTCATAACTTGTGGTGAGTTAATCCTCATGGCTTTATTCCCTTTTTCACGATCAAAGCAGAATCAGATTGCTTGGATTTGGGGATAATTACTTCATTTATATATGATTTAATTGTTTTTTTTTTTCATCGATCATAGTATTTCAAATATGGAACAAACAAATGAGAAAAGCCCTAAACATTCATCTTTATTCTTCTTGCTACTAAAAACAAAGAGACAGACAACAAGGACTCGAGTATGTTCCTAGGTTGTATTTTTTTTCTTCACATCATACCTGGTGCTTGATCAAAAAATGGTGGGTGTGCTGCAAGCTTCTTGGTGGTTGTGATTCATATAAAAGAAGGAGTTGGGGGTGAAAAGGAGAGACAAGTAGCAAATTGACTCTTGGGAGTTTCATGGTGGCTGTGATTCGTACCCCTTTAGGCATGCCCAACAACTGTTTGTGGAAATGTCCTCTTGCAGGTCTGAATCTTGGTAAAGCTACAGAAACATGGTTGAAAACCTTAAAGAAGTGTCATCCTTCGGTATAAATCTTTCAGGTCTCCAACTCTCTCTCTCTCTCTCTCTCTCTCTCTCTCTCTCTCTCTCTTTCTCTCTCTCACACACACACATACACACACAAAATACACAATTTTTATAAGGGGATTACAATATTACCATTACCAACTTTTCCATGCTGCTTTTCAGATTGAAATGCTGTAAGGATAATAGTTAGAGTGATTTGCTTCAAGATAGACCCAAGCAATCATCATCACCACCCCTCCTCCTTATCTCTACTCGATGACAACTTCCTCAATTTGCATAGTCCCGGAAAGCTGATTCCATTGCTGTAAGTCCAGAGGTAAACCTTCACTACTAGATATTGATTCTGCAATTAGGTTAAATTTTCAATATCGATGATGATTTTCAGGTGGAAGAAGCCAAGAAACCTTTAATTACAAATTCTCAAAGTCATGCCATTAGAGCATCCCCATCTCAGCGACGTGACTACTATTACATGTATGTCTTTATGCTTTATTTAATTACTCCTTTATGACCAAAATTCTCCAGTACTCCTTGTTTAATCTGATGAAACTACTGTAATATCGGTTTGCAGGTCAGCAAGATCATTGGCTGGAAGTTCAACTCCACCAAACAGAAGTTATTTGTGGACAACAAGAAGTAGTCCAACCTCAGCTATGGCTATGGCTATTGCTGCTGATGAATATCATGATCATTCTTCAGAAGATGAGTCATCTCTTGATATACCTGCAAAGACTACTTCCCAGCCTAGGCCAATACCCCGCTCTGTAAGTTTTTCTAAAAGCTTGATTGATTTCTTGTATCTGTTGATTGATTAGTTGTTGCTAAAAAGCCTATATCGATCCATGATATATGAGCTGATCAGCTGCTTATGTCAGGTTGGTTATGGATCATTTTTGGCAACTTCACTCAACTTTCCTTCACGCACAAAGGGTTTGATACAAGTGTATGCTCACAGGAAGCTTCTACAAGTATGACCACTGCTTATTCTACTTATTATCTCGTTGGTGGATGAAAACTTATGATTATATATATATATATATATATATATATATATATATATATATATATAGGGTTAGGTTCATTTGAGACCACCTATATTTTGTGAGACCGTGAGACACATTTTTTATTTTTTTTAAATATTTTTTATTTATTTTTTTATTTTTTTAGTTAATTCATGTTCCAAAAATAATATTTAAAAAAAGAATTTTTTAATTTTTCCATTTATTTTGCATTTTAAAATTATTTTTAGAATATGTACAGTGCAATATTCTATTTAGAATATTTCACGTATTTTTCAAAAAAAATAGAATTTTTTTTTAATTTTTTTTAGTTAATTCAAGTTCCGAAAATAATATTTAAAAAAAGAATTTTCAGATTTTTCCATTTATTTTGCATTTTAAAATTATTTTTTAGAATATGTCAGTGTAATATTCTATTTAGAATATTTCACGTATTTTTCAAAAAAAAAAAAAAAATAATTATATATATATATATATATATATATATATATATATATATATATATATATATATATATTAGTTAATTCAAGTTCCGAAAATAATATTTAAAAAAAGAATTTTTGGATTTTTCCATTTATTTTGCATTTTTAAATTATTTTTAGATTTGGTCTCACGGTCTTTTATATTTCATATGTGTATATACATATATATATATATATATATATATATATATATATATATATATATATATATATATATATATATATATATATATATCGAGCATCAATTTATTAACTGATGCATGTTTATATACCAAGATAAAATGTCATTTATTTGCAATAACGTACATGCACATAAAGATATACACCTTGCTCAACATGTTACAAGGCGATAATAAATTGTTAGCATTTTTCTGTTAGTAACAGCTTTGATCACTGTTATTATAAAATTTATAAAAACTTCATAACAGATCCAAATCAGAATCCGTAAATTCTGGGAGTTTGGAAAATGAGTCTAGTTTGTTCATAAATGTTTCCATGATTTTTAGTGGCCTCCAACTTAGGTGAAAACGTTGATAAGCACAGACTGGTCCGGATTGGATCTTGAAATGATAGGTAGTTTTGCAAAAATCACCATAAATTGTAGAAAAATCGTATGGAGATATGCAAGTATTCATTTTAAAGGTATAAACCTGAAATATTTGCATCTAATACAGTTTTGAAAAAAAATGTTTAAGTAGACCAAAACAGTCCGTGAATGGAGCCCAACTTTTCTGATGAAAGCTGTTTGAAGTATTTAGTTGTGTTCTTAGTGATTTTAACTTGTATTCCCCCCCTTAAAACTTAGAAAATACGAAATGGTAGGGGTATGAACTCACCTTGAGTGATTTCAGTGGGTGAAGTTGAAGATGAAAGGTGTTCAACTCAAGAACACTTGAAGGATCACTTGAATTTTCGAAGATCTAACATGAATGTGATGATGTTTGTGTAAGCAATCTATGATTTTGAGTAAGAGGGAATAGAAGAGTGATGAAACTTACCAAAAATGAGAGAAAGTTTGATGATCAGCCCTTAAAACTCGAAATTTGAGGGAGAGGATTTGAGAGAAAAGTGATGTTTGATACTTGGTGGAAATGAGGAAAATGAGAAATTTTAAGAGTGAAAGAGAGTTTTCCAGCTCATTTGGATGTGGGTTTGCTGGGAAATGAGTGGGGTAATGCCTTGAGGTGTCTGGGAATAGTGGGGAGTACAATAGTTCGTCAAAGGAATGGGCATGGGGTGGTTGATTGTGCCAATTATTATGGAAAGATCCACACTCCACCTCAAGATCTCACTTAATAGATTTTATTCTTAAATAAATATTTCCCTAAAAATATATTTGAATTATGATCATTTAGGGTCTCATATGTTAAAATATGATTTCTGGAGAAAATACCACGTTAAAATAATTAAAAATGGGCTTAAAATGGAGTAGTGGTCGAAAACCTGGCGAAAAAGTGGAAATTTTGGAATTCTGGGCGAGGTCTCGGCCTCAGCAGCCAAGAACTGAACAACACATGCGTATCCAGGGGAGGAGGCTGCGGTCCGAGGTTCCTAATGTGGGTGTGGCTGCGGCTCGCTTGCTGCGGTCAGGGCTGCGGCTCGGCTGCTGCGGCTTGCCTGCTTCGGCTCGCACGCTGCGGTTCGAACCCAAGAGGGTCCGACCTCTAAGAGGCTTTGGCCCTAGGGGGAGGTTCCGGGTCCTTTGGGGTATTTTACCCGTTATAACCTTGTTTTAAGAGATTTTTTACACGGTTAAGGGTGGTAATGACCCGAATGACTTCAAAAAGTCATGAGAACTTTTGAGCGAGATTGGGAGGGATTTGGGTGAGATTTCAAATAGAAAGAGGTATAGTGAAAATGATTGAGAGAGGTTTCGTTTGTGACCCTTTTGAGTGTCCGACTTTGCAATGCGAGGTCCGTAAACCCTGTTAAGCCATGTTTTAAGGTCCTACACACTCCCGGTGAGTGTGCAATAGTGTTTTATCGCTTTGGTTCAATGTTTAGTATTTTCACAGCTATTGAAACTCAAACATACGAATTTTCCAATGATGTTTTCTCATTAAAATAGTGAGTTGTTTAGTAATTACACAATGTAAACCCTAATATACAAGGGCTAATTGAGTCTTCCGGTTTGTCTTGTTGACTTTGTTTGACTTTGACTTGACCCGAAATTGACTATTGTCACATCATCCCCCCGTTAGAAGGAATTTCCACTACTAGAAAAACAGCCTTTTACGACGCTCATTGCGCGTTGTAAAACAATCAGATGACGCGCAAATGCGCATCAAGAAAGGCCCTGTCATAAAGAGAGACGACGCGTTTTTGCGCGTCATCTATAGACGACACGCATTTACGACGCTCATTTACGACGCACATTTATGACACACATTTATGACACGAAATGCGTATCAAGGAAGGCCCTGTCATCAAGGAAGACGACACACATTTGCATGTCGTAACCTTACGATGCGCATCTATGACACGCATTGCGTATCATTAAAGCCCCTGTCATAAATGAGGATGACGCGCATTCGCGTGTCATAAACTTCAGTAACCATTTACGATATGCATTTACGAAGCGTCTTTACGATACTCTTTTACGCATAATACAAAAATATGTGAACAAATATACCAGAACAATCAATTTTATCCGATAACATCATGTCAAAAAAATGTAATACATTTATATTAAGGGGATCTAATTGTACATTATTATTAAGAGGTTTTCCCTAATTATATAACCTAATACTACCTTTCTATTAAGGGACACCTTCTGCAATGTAATGCTGTACAAGATAAAAAGATATACACAAAGATGATAAACATCAAATTCCAACTAAGTAGAGTTGCATCTTACCTTTCATAATTCTTTAAGACTGATATTGAACCCATGCTCCGATAATTCTTGTGACCTAATCAAATAAAAATCAAAAAATTAATATGCTAATATAATTATTAGAAGAATCAAACATGGAATGTTAGTTGTAAAAGACAAAGTTACCCTTTTCTCCATACAAAGAATGTGGTATTTGGAATAAATACAGTACAATATGAATTATTTGATATCAACAATGACAATCAAAATGACAAGAATACCCTCATACAAATGGTAAATATTACCTGTAAAGCTATCAACAATGACAGTTCTTGATCCTATGAACTAGAGCGTATCTCATCACAATTCAATTTAACACCACCCATGAGAACCCGTAAAGCTACTCAACCAACATATCATGTCATGTAATGTTTTTTTTGTCAGTATATTTTCACGTAGAAAAAAAAGTGAAATAAGTAAAAATAACAACCTTCTCATTTAATGAAAATGGATATTGTACACATCTATGGGACCCATTTTCAGAATTACCATCCCAATTTTACTGAAATTGTTCATGCTATTTGAACTCAAATAATTTATTTTTAGTAAAAAAAAATAAATATTTATAATTATAGTGTTTTGATTATATAATACATACCCATCTATCACTGACTTCTCTTCTTTGTTTTCGCATTGTAGCATTGTGAAAGAGCCTTCGATCATCCTCACGTTTTTAACAGCTACAACTGCAGCTCTTAAATCTTTTCATAAAAACAAATAAAAAAAATCAAATTAATATAACATAAACTCAGTTATGATTATAGTAAGAAATAAAAACAAAAAAATATGTTACCATGATTAGGAAATAGAGGTGCAGTGCTAATTTCAGCATCAGAGAGACTACATCTTTCCTGTGATGTAGACAAAAAGAATATATATATATATATATATATATATATATATATATATATATATCTATATATATATATATATATATATATATATATATATATATATATATATATATATATATATCTTTGTGTGATATATGTTGAGAAACTGAATCACATATGTTAGAATAAAGAGTTGTGATCAGGTACCGCACAATGATCATGTAAGTTTTTGTTTTTTTGTGGTTTTTATCTGTGTGTGTTTAAAGATATTTTTTGTTCTTTTTGCAGGTGTTCTTCTCTTGGTATATCCACTTCTCATTGCAATTATATGGAAAATTGATGATGGATACAGATGATAAAAGTCCGATGCTTTGCTGGTAATCCCTGTTTCAATTCTTTTTTATAAAGGTCATTTTATAATGTTTATGAGTTATAAATACGTGTGTGTATGTTAAGGTGTTTTTTTTCTGTTATACACAAAAAGCAACACACATGCACACACATAAAAAAGTAACAAATAAATGATGTTTTGCGGAATATAGCATTATCCTTTCATAGCAGTGTACTTTAAGTTTTTGTCAATTATAGCATTGAACTTTTGTTCTCTCTCTCTATCTCTCTCTCTCTCTCTCTCGCTATATATATATGGTCAGAAATAATAGTAATATGAAACTTGCAAAGAAAAAGAGAAAGAGAAAGAGAAAAAGTCAACTCACTTGGTTAATTGCAAAATGAACAGGTTTATCTTTTACAAGGGATAGCTCTTCCCTCAAGTGAACCACCACTCCAACAGAAGTATGTGTGGTATTTGAACCAAATCATATAAAGATGAACCTTCAGGCATTGCTACTGAATCTGCATCCTTCATCCTCCCAACATCAACAACTTCACCAAGTGGAATGGGATCAAATATCTTACAAGGCAGCTTCATTAGAGATGATTCGTTGTATTTCAAGAAATCCTGTAAATTAACAAGAAATACATCTGATTTACTAACTTGTCAATTGCATGTTGAAAGAAGTTTTGTAACCAAACGACCAACTAAAGCATTAACAGGAACGAATTTTATCATGGAAAGCAACAATTTAAGGCACGAATCATCATCATGACTGTACTCCACGAGGGATTCCAAAAATACCCCTAGAAACTTGTCGATGTTGGACTCCTTGGTCAATCCAGAAAGAACCCTCGAAAGATCAATTTATCACAAAATCAAAACCATGTTCAGGAAACATAAAGAAATATAAAAACTTTGAATTGTCAAAATAAAGAAAAAATTTATCCTTTGAGGCTTACCTAATTTCCTTCAAGATATTAACAGCCTTTTTAGGGAGCACTTCCACAGATTGCAACTGCCATGTAAATAAGAAGGGTATAAATTAACAGCATAAAGTTACAGATAAACAACATATGGCAAGCTAGAATACCTGTACTGGCCTAACATTGTCATGATTAAATTGCATTCTCTGTTATACCTTGTTATAGACAAGAAAAATTGTTAACTGATGATCCTACTATAATATACACTTCATAATGTAAAAGTTAAATCAATTACTTGGTTAATAGATAAGAATACTTCTTATATGTTGAGTCCTAGTGCAAACAAAGCCAACTAAATATATGGAACGGGAAGCATCCGTTGATGAAATTGAAAGCTGGTGGTGGTGCTGAAAAGGTGTCCTCTGGTGGTGGTAGTTTTTGGAGTATCTCATCGAAGGGGAAGGAGAAAGGGAAGGTGGATCCACCTGTTGCTATTAAGAACCCTAATGTTATCATTCCTAATGAAACAGTGAGGTTGCTAAGTGGAGCAGGTTTTTTATGAAAATGAAATGGTTTCTGTCGTGAACAGATTGCTATATAACTTATAAAGATGTTTTGTTAAAAAGAAATTATGGTGCAAATCAATTTATTGGTTGAAACTGTTGTTTCATGCTACCCCCATTTGCAAACACCCTACTGCAGCAAGGGCAACCTCTTTACTACCATTTGCAATGTTGTTCTTCATAGAACACAACAAAGACTCCCATCCTACATAACAAATATTCAACTTCACCATTGTTCTTTTTTAAAGCACACATGTTTTTGAATAAATTATAATCTTTTAAATGAAGACATACCTAACCAAAACTTGGTTAAATTTCTTAATAGTTGAAAGAAAGTACGCAGGATACGAGCAATTCCACCAAATACAAGCACAAGTGTTTCATCCCATTGTTTTTGAGCATTGTTGCGGCTAGATGTTTTAATAAAAACATTTAAATTTATTGTAAAACTGAAAAGAAAAGTGAAATACATGTAGAAATATGAATGAAACAAAGTCTATGTTGACATGCCTATGATGTATGAGCATATGAACTGCTTTTCCACCACGGACACCGAGTTCTGTCCCCTGCTATTCGTCTTTGGAAGATAAAAAGAAGAAGAGGAACCTGTTTGAATCCTTTCTTGTGTACAGCTAAAGGAAAAATTCATAACATGGATGATCTAGGGTGATTGAAATTTCTTCTACTTTATATCTTGTGAACGCCATTTTGGCATTTTCTTATGATTGTGGCTTTAACTCAAAAAGCTTTTCAGTTTCAATTTTCTTAGTTTGCAACGAATATTTGAATGTATTTATTTTGTGATTTATATTATATGGCAATATGGCATGCCCTCCCTCATTGGTTACCTAACTATTCCTCTAGAGTTGGCATCTGGTTTCAAGGGCTCCCACGACCAACTCCAACACCCACATCTTCTGCACTCTCCCCAACCATTCTAATCACCTATTCAACAAGTATAAACATCGCACGTAAGACAAGGGTATTTTTGGCACATGAAAAATAAAGCTAACACAATTGCCTATGTGCGAATGTTATTTGGGTCAGCACCTAAATTCTCAAGAACAGGAGCTGCTACACCTTCACCTTCACGAAGCAAACCAAGAACCAAGTGCTCTAATCTAATATAATTATGACCTAAAAGATTCCATGGAACTGGCAGCAGCCGAAGCAGAGTTATAACCAGCAGAGGCTGCTGAAGCATATGGTCCATAGCTTCCCGCCATTCCAATACTCCATGTATTGCTTCCTGGCTTATACTGTGGAAGCGGGTATTTAGAATTAGAGGCGGCAGTCACTGGTGGTGGTGGTGCTGGATACATGCCTCCGGCGCCTTGTTGTGGTTGTTGTGGGAATGTCTCGTTTCTTAAAAACTGATGGATAGTAGCTGGTGGAGGGACATAAAATGGGGAGAAATATGGACCGTATAGGGGTACTCGAGTCCCGCATTCAATGACATTTCACCTTCCGTTGGTAAATTCTTGGGTACATAAGAAGATGTGGTAGGGCGTTCAAGATGATCCTCCTCTCCATCAGCATTTTCATTTCTGAACCAATAAAGTACATACATTTATCGGAAAAGGATGTCTACACCAATATGAAATACAACCTAAGAAACAGAAACCTGGATTGCATTTGATCCTCTATAGTTTCATCAGCCTCCTCAGATGCTTCAGACGTCTGTTCACTCACGGTCATAGCCACAAGACCATATGAGTTTGAGGGGGTTTTATTAAAACTAAAAGTGGCATCAAAACTCCCAAAACAGAAGCCGAGTTTTTCGGCTTCAGGAACATGAAGGTGATTTGGGATAATGACATGTTTATCATCTGAAATGTGGGACTCCTTCAACTTCTTCTCAAGTTCATCCTCCTATCAATCAAGATTAGTAGAGGATGTAGAAGAAATTATTGTTGGAGTATGAGCTTCAACTGGAACCACAGCCACAGGCACCTTAATTGACCTTTGACTGTGAGCAATTGGTTTCACTTTCCATTCCATGCTAGGACCAACTATAGGAAATCACAAACAAGTTTATCATTAAGTTCTACTGTTTCACTTCTAATAAAAGCATTCAGTTAAAAGTTAAGGTATCAGTGTCTTGATACCTTTTTGAGGTCCAATTGCTTGTTGCATCCTATTATTATAATTTGATGAAGGCCTGGAAATGGAAAAGGAGACGTGAGATGATGATACTGGTCATGAAGATGACTCTGAAACCACATTCTTCCCTACTCCCTGAAGCTCACTGGGTCCCACCTTCTCTTGCTCAGAACCAGTTGTCATGTTTAACCATTCATAAATATGATTAATTTACATCAAATAAAAAATAATTTCAAATACAAAACAAGATGATAACAAAATGGTGATTAAATAAAAAAAAAGATTCTCACAAGAAGTCGATTTGATCCGAAGAGGGGTCTCTTGAATTTGTTCAACTGCATCTATTTTACTCCCAACCTCACGTCTAATAGTACCCACATATAGCCCTGAATCTTGTGATGGCATCAAAATAGGATCTTTTTCGGACAAATATACCCCTGGTGAAGATTAGCAATCTGAACAAACATTATTGCATTCTCTTTAGGTATATCAATATTGCAATACAAGTACACACAAGTGATTCCTACATGATTATACATGCACAAACTGATAAACCTACAAGCTTCCACATTTTTAAGCATACTAAAACCATAATTACATAACTGTGTACCTTGAGAAACCGACCCCTCCTATTTTCCCCAATGTCAAAGTAAAACACCTGAAGAAAAAACCCTAATCAGAAAGGTAATTGGATAGATATGAAGGTTATTTGAAAGAAAAATCTATGATAATTATTGAAGAAACTAGGAAAGTCAATCCACATTTTGCAGAGTAATAAATATGAAAGCGTATGTATTGTATGTGTAATGTGTAATATAATAAATTGACTTGATATCAAGCTGGAGTTCCTTGCTAGAAATATCTTGCTCATCAGAAGTGATGTAGTAGTTGAAGATATCAAAGAATCAAGAGAGATTCCATTGAAAGGTACGATTATGGTAGACCTTGATGCCGATGTCTTCTCCGAAATGTTCATGTAACGACCGCGTAGATTCTCCTTGAGATCAAAGTAAAACAATTTATGCTCCACCTGTAACATCTTAGACAACAGCTGCACGTCATTCCCACCGCTTCGTGCACCTCCGCTGCCACCCGAGTTAAACTCCATCTCCCCTTACGTCTTCTCCTGCACCTCCACATGTGACGTCTTAGACAACAACTCCTCGTTGCACCTTACGTGTTTTGAACCAGGCAAGAGGGATGAGATGGAAATACGAGAGTGAGATAGAAAAAATTACGGTCGGATTTAGGAACCCTAAATAATCGGCTCAAATTGATAACTGGTAGGTAAGAACCCTAAATCCTCAGCTCATAGAGTCGAATTAAGAGTGTAAGAACTTGTTGGAACGGAGAATTAGGTTTTTGGTGGAGGTGATGGATCGAGGAATTGAGGAAGCTGTGGATGAAGACGAAGGCCTTAATTCGAAGAGGCGGGGAATTTTTGGATTAATAGGCGGGGGTTAATTTTTTGGATTTTATTTTTCCCCCTAAAAACGCATGTTTCCTTAAAAAAATATAAAGCGACATAGTAACACGACGCACATTTTTTATAGGTGCTCTCCGTATTTTTTTTTTCTAACACTAATTTTATGGTACGCAAAAATGCGTGACCTCTATCCTTCAAATTTTGGAAAACTAACATTAATTTTTAGGGCACGGACAAATGCCCATCCTCTATCGGTGTGTGTCATTAATTGCGCGTCGTAAAAGGCTATTTTTCTAGTAGTGTTCGTCCCGAAATTTGCATTTTGGCTGGGTCTTCAATAGTTCGTGAAAAGATGTGGTTATTTTTGTTTCATTTTATCTTCACGTTCCCAGGTGAACTCAGGTCCCCGTTTAGCGTTCCAACGGACCTTCACGATGGGAATACGACTCGGTTTTGTTCCCTTGATCTCTCGATCCATGACTTCGACTGGTTCTTCCACGAAATGGAGGTTCTCATTAACTTCGATTCCGTCGAGTGGTATCACCAGAGTCTCATTTGATAGGCACTTTTTCAAGTTTGATACGTGGAAGGTAGGGTGTACGTTATTAAGTTCTTGCGGTAATCGGAGTTTGTAAGCCACAGAACCAATCATGGCAAGGATTTCAAACGGTTCGATGTACCTCGGGTTTAGTTTCTCACGTTTACCAAAACGTATCATTCCTTTGCAAGGGGAAACTTTCAGTAGTACCCGATCTCCGACCTGAAATTCCAAGGGTTTGCATCGTTTTTATGCGTAACTTTTCTGTCGATCACGAGACGCCTTTAGTCTTTACCAAATTTGAAAAATCTTTTCTGTGGTCTCCCTTATGATTTCAGGACCAGTGAAGGCACTATTTGGGACTTGCCCCTTAGCCAGCTAGGTATACCCCACTTCGACGCAACACATAGGTGATCTGCACTTGCGACCGTAGAGAGCTTCGAATGGAGTGACTCCAATTCTAGTGTGATAGCTATTATTATAGGAAAATTCGATAAACGGTAAATGAGTATCCCATGCCTTACCAAAGTCTAACACACAGACTCTCAACATGTGTTCTAACGTCTGTATAGTACACTTGCTCTGCCTGTCGGTTTATGGATGGTGGGTCGTACTCATATCTAGCCTAGTTCACAGAGATTTTTGTTCGGACTGCCAAAATCACGAGGTGAATCTTTTATCTCGGTTGGAGAAAATGGATATTGGTACACCATGCAGTCATACAATCTCCTTGATGTACGTCCTGGTTAACTTCCCAATCTTGTCGATTTCCTTTATTGCCAGGAAGTTCGTAGACTTGGTTACTCTATCTACGATTACCCATATGGTGTCAAGCCCACTTGATGTCTTAAGCAGCTTGGTTATGAAGTCTACGGTTATCCGTTCCCACTTCCACTCAAGTATATCCAGTTGTTGTAGTAGTCCTGATGGCTTTTGATATTCTACCTTGACCTTGGCGCAAGTCAGACACTTGCCCACATAGGTAGCAATCTCAGCTTTCATGTTTGGCCACCAATACAACTTCTCGAGGTCTAGATACATCTTATCCGAACCTGGATTGATGGAATATCGTGTCTTGTGTGATTCGTTCATGACAACGTCTCGGAACCCACCGAACTTCGGTGTCCAGATCCGGCTCATGAGGTAGCGAGTTCCATCCTCCTTGAATTCTGGGTTTTTATCCATCCCTCTCAATGCCTCACCTGTCACGTTTTCCGGTTTCAAGGCTTCAAGTTGAGCTACCTTGATATATGTGAATAGGTGCGAATGGATCGTCATTGTCAATGACTTTAACCAGCAACCTGAATATTCTTTTCTGCTTAGGGCATCGGCTACAACATTAGCCTTGCCTGGATGATAGCATATTTCACACTCATAATCGTTCAGTAGCTCTACCCATCTTCTTTGTCGCATGTTGAGCTCTTTTTGATTGAGGATAATGCTGAAGACTTTTGCGATCGGTGAAGATGGTGCACTTTGTGCCGTAGAGGTAGTGTCTCCAGATCTTCAAGGCGAACACTACTGCCCCTAATTCGAGGTTGTGGGTAGTATAGTTAACTTCGTGGGTCTTAAGTTGCCTTGACACATAAGCGATAACCTTCCCGCTTTGCATGAGCACACAACCGAGACCTTGTTTTGAAGCATCGCAATACACTACAAAGTCATCAATTCCTTCCGGAAGAGACAAGATCGGTGCGGTGCATAGGGCTTGTCTTAGTGTCTGGAAGGAGGCTTCTTGTTTATCTTCCCATTTGAACACCACACCTTTCTGATTCAGAGTGGTAAGGGGTTTAGCAATCTTGGAGAAGTTCTGTATGAATCTTCGGTAGTAGCCTGCGAGTCCTAAAAATTGTCGGATTTCTGTTGGTGTTGTAGCTGCTGACTAGTTTTCGATCGCCTTGATTTTTGAGGGATCCACATGTATTCCTTTCCTACTTACCATGTGGCCAAGGAATCCCACTTCTCGGAGCCAAAACTCGCACTTCAAAAACTTAGCATAAAGCTTCTCAGCTCTTAGAGTCTGCAGAACTAATCGCAGGTGTTTCCTATGCTCTTCTTCACTCCTCGAATAGACCAAGATATCGTCGATGAACACGATCACGAATTTATCTAAGAAAGGTCGGCACACTCGGTTCATTAGATCCATGAACACCACAGGCGCGTTTGTTAGTGCGAATGGCATTACTACAAACTTGTAGTGCCCATAGCGAGTTCTGAATGCCGTCTTGGGGATATCTTCTTCTTGAACTCGCAGCTGATGATAACCCGACCTCAAGTCAATTTTTGCAAAATAACTTGCTCCCTGAAGTTGATCGAAGAGGTCGTCGATTCGAGGTAGGGGATATCGGTTCTTGATGGTAAGTTTGTTTAATTCTCGATAGTCGATGCACATGCGAATTGATCCGTCCTTCTTCTTTACAAAAAGGACTGGTGCACTGCAAGGTGAAATGCTCGGTCTAATGAACCCTTTGCTCAATAGTTCATTCAACTGGCTGGACAGTTCTTGCATCTCTGCTGGTGCTAGGCGGTATGGAGCTTTGGCAATGACGGTAGCTCTGGGAATTAAATCGTTTTGGAATTCGACTTGTCGCGCGAGTGGTACACCTGGCAGGTCTTCTGGGAATACGTTGGGGAAGTTGCACACCTCGGAAATGTCTTTGATGTCCTTCACATCTTGTTTCTTATCTATGACGTGGGCTAAGAATGCATGATATTCCTTTCGTAGGTACTTTTGGGATTTGACGCAAGAGATGATTTGCAAATGTGCATTACGTTTATTGCCATAGATGAGAAGGGTTTCACTGTTTGGCAGATTAACGCGAACGGCCCTTTGGTAACACAGAATGTTGACATGAAGAGAGCTTAACCAATCCATACCAATGAAGATGTCGAAACTTTTTATGGTGACTGGCATTAGATCGATTTTGAACGAGTGGTTATCTAGAGTGAGGGTACACCCTATGTATATATCATTAGTGCACTCAACCTTTCCGTTTGCCATTTCTATGACGTATAAATCTTCTAATGACTCGGGGTTTTGTTTTAGTAGTTGTTTGAATTGGTGGCTCACGAAACTCCTCTCTGCTCCACTATCAAATAGTACGCATGCATAAGAGTTATTGAGGAGAAACGTACCGGTAACCACTATAGGATCCTCGACTACTTCCCCATGTCCTATCGCTAGGACCCTCCCTACACCTCCAGCATTAGGGGCTTGTGCCTTGGGTCATTTCCTCCTGAAGTGCTCCACTTCACCACATCCATAGCAGGTTTCGCTTACCCCTCCATTAGCAACTTGGTTGATCTATCGTGCTGGAGCTTTACAGAAACAAGCGGTGTGCCCTTTCCTGTCACAGTTTTTGCAGTGCATTTCTTAACAAGCACCATTGTGGTGGAAGTTGCACTTGTTGCACTTAGGGAGATTTCCTGCATATTTCTTTGGTGGTGTCGGAGTGGTAGCAGTGGTGGCAACACGGATAGCAACAGTCTGTTGCTTCTTGGCGGGATCCTGTGTCGGTTGCTTCTTTTTATTGCTCCAGAAATTTCTCTTGTTGTTCCCTTTATTTGCTTGATCGGAGGTGGTTGACACCATGACATGGCTGGCCTGATGATTAATGAGTTGTTGTTCCAGCTCTTTGGCATTGTCAAAAGTGGTTGGCTTTGAGGCCAACACGTTATCTTGAATTTGGGGTGATAGGCCCCAGAGATATCGTTCCACCTTCTTGTTTTCCGGGGTAACCATCCCAGGACAGAGGAGTGCTAGATCATTGAATCGGGCGGTGTAAGCTGCATGGTCCGTGCCCGTCATCTTGAGGTTCCACAATTCTTGTTCTAATTTTTGCACCTTACCCCTTGAAAAATATTCCTTTACCATCATAGTTTTCAAGTCTTCCAAACTTAAAGAGTTAGCCACGGAGAGTGTCAACGACTTTACATGGCCGTTCCACCAAGTAAGGGCCCTGCCGGAGAATGTGCAGGCTGCGGATTTGACTTTGTCTGATTCGGGACATGCGTAGATCTCGAAGACAGATTCAGTCTTCTCGAACCACTGCATCAAAGCGATGACGCCCTCGCTTCCATTGAAAGAGTCAGGTTTGCCATTTGTGAAGTCTTTATAGGAACATTCTATCGAACGCCCTTGGCT